AGTAGACATTTTGAATCTTGTTTTAAGTTGAATGGAGTTAAAATGAGATCTTGAACATTAAATATCCATTGAATGTTACCTAAGTTGAAGTCTCCCATAATACAAGGTGCCTGGAAGGGCTGTAAAGAACTTACTAGGGCATTTATGTTGCTAATATGGGTTTGGTACATTACGTAGTCGCTATTGGGCGGAATATAACTAATGACAAACATTATCTCATTTACTCCATCTTCACGTGGATCTCCAATATTAACAGCAACACACATTTGCTCGGTGAGAGTGTCTGTTTGCATAAGACCCACTTCACGGCTAGCGAATTTAGGTGACACCGCAATGAGAACCCCTCCACCTCTTGTAACACCCGAGTGTAAAACCCGGTCTCTTCGGTACACTTCATAATGGGCATTGAAAAGTTCGGACGAGAGAAAATCTGCTGTCAACCATGTCTCAACTAAGATGATAATATCATATATGTGCTCTGACGTTGCTAGATACATTGAGTTTGTTTTTGTACGTAGGCCGCCGGCGTTATGAAAGTAAACATTTAGCTCAGATTTATAAGATGTACGGGGTTGTGAAGTTGTATTTTGGATATTGGGTGTTATGCGATTAGGATAAGTATCCGAATCGGTTACGCAGCAGGCTCATGACTTCTCTGTTTCGGGGAAAAATTAAAGGGGCGAACGGTGACGTTGGCGGGCCAAATCTCTGCGTTCAGTAACTTTCCGAAAAGTGATTCCGTGACACCCAGCTTAAAATTAACCCGCGTCAGGGAGTCCGTCGATACATCCCGTTTAATGAGCTTGAAGCATGATAACGTTTGCTTGTCAATGCCTGCATGTCTGGCCACATAGTTGATTATCTCTTCTGGTTCAACTTGTAGAAAGGAAAACAAATGTAGCCATTAGAAGTGAGAGGCGACGCCCAGTTCAGAGGTTTTGTTAGCACCAACAACACGCACCCCATGTTTATGTTTATCATTCGTTTTGTTTTCAACAACGCTGTCTGAGCTATGATTATTATCGATGTTTTGATCGCCTTGCTTCACAGTGTTACTAGCCGAGGCCGCTGCCTGAGTCGAATATGCCATGGGTGCCAAAGCGGAGGGAGAAACAGCAACACAAGCAGATGGGTTCGTACTCGCGCTCGTATCAGCAACACTAGCAGAGGCGGCAGAGCAAGAGATTCTATGCGTGGGCGTATTAAGAGTACGCGCAGTAGAACTAGCATCGAAGTCGTTGACGCCCGCGGCAGCAGTATTTAGAGAGGAATAGCGGTCCGAGATCGGCGCAACCTTTGTATTTTCTCAATCGTCTCTTTTATGTAACTGTTCGCCTTTTGCTTTGTGTTAAGAAAGTCGCGTATATGCGTGCGAAGGCTTTGGACCTCATCAGTCAGCGATGAAATGGCACACTCTTTATCGTGGAGCTTACTTTGCAAAGAGCATAGCTCTGTACGAAGATCTTTAGTAGTTTTAGCAAGAGTATTCTTATCTTCATACCAAGAATGATAGAATACAAGATTGCGCCGATCAGAGAGGATTTTTGAGAATAACTTTTGTGTGACGTCACACTGGTGCAATTGCGAGAGAGAAATGCCAAAACGTGAGCAAGAATGGAAGAAGAAGAAAAAATGTTGCAAGGAAAACGTAAACAAGTTGCACAAGTGTGACGTCATGCAAACAACGATTCTGTCAAATTCGTTAAGAGAGGAATAGCGGTCCGAGATCGGCTCAACCTTTGTATTCTCTCAATCGTGTCTTCATACAGAGCAGTTACAAGACTAAGTACGCGTGCGTTCTCCGCTCTTAACGTTGCTATTTCGTTGAAAACAGCCCATAGGGTTATTTCGTGCGTATTTACATCTTCGGCCTGCTGTTGAGTTATATCCAAATCCTGACTCAGATAGCCTGGCTCGTAGTTACCAACAGCTTCGTCAGCAGTAGTACATACATCTGAGAAGGCCGATGGGGGAGGTGAGCGAAGTGACTGACGACGATAAATACTGCCTACCTGCATTATGCAGCAAATCCAGATCAGACAAACGCAAACCGACACAATCCAAGTGAAAAGAGTCAATGCACTTAGCGCACTGCACTTTGTTCTGAGTACGCTCAACTTTGTGTCCACATTCACAAGGCATGATAAAGTGTTAGATTGCTGATTTTATTATAAGCAAATTGAATTATTGTTATTATTATTATTATTTTTTTCTTGTTAGAGTCACTAAATCGATTTAAAAAATCGATCACTATTCAAAGCTAGTCACTGTATGTGAAATTCGCACGAAAACAAGTACAAGTACCGGCTTCAATACACTTTTTTCCGAGTCTATTAGCGGAGCGATTAGAAACACGTCCGTTCGCTACAATGTTATGTAGTCGGAATGTAAAGATGTTATATTTATTCTGCTCTAATTTTACTCTAGCCGTGTAATCAGAATATGGTATAGCCTGGGTTTTATTGACTGAAATGCAGTAATAATTTTAGGCACAGCAGGTGTTTTTATTTATGTACATTAAAATATCTCCAATAAATTATATAATAGTAGAAATGTTGTAATATTTAATATTACCTAATATTATTTCACCGCATGTTTTTAATACTTGAAAGCATCTATTAACATAAATGCATTTTCCAATACAATTATCATACATTTTTTTTTCGATAAAGTGGGTTTTATTTTAAGGCATTCTTGTTTATTGCCATTGAAAAAGCTAACGGAACTGGAAACTGAAGTCTCTTAAATTCGAAAGGCATATCAGAAAAAATTAAAAGGGTCATGTGACCTGTGGTTCGAAGTTATGGCTGATAAAAAATTCCACGCTTATGTTATGTTACTATAAGTACCTACCATAGATATATCTGCATACCAAATTTAAAAATTATGTGGCCTACGGCATCTATGGCTGATTAAAAATTTCACGACTATGAGATTTGCCACGCCCCCTTTTTCAAACTCACTTACATATATATACCTTACTATAAGCACCTACCATAGATATGTCTGCATACCAAATTTCAAGTTCATGTGACTTATTGCTCCGAAGTTATAGCTGATAGAAAATTCCACGCCTTTGGGATGTGCCACACCCCCTTTTATAAACTTAGATATTATAAGCGCCTACCATAGACATGTCTTCGTACCAAATTTCAAGCTCTTTTGACTTATGATTCCGAAGTTATAGCTGATTAAAAATTTGCAAGGCCTATGGGAGGTGCCACACTCCGCACCCAAAACCACACCTATAACCTTCCCGGGGTAAAAACAAATAAGTGTGCAAAGTTTCGTGCGATTCTGTGTCGTGGTTCAAAAGTTGTAAGGTAATAAGCAAACAGACATTCACATTTATTAACATATAGATAGATAGATAGATAGATAAATTACATTTAGAAATAAAATAAACAGAAAGGCCAGCAATATATCAAGATAAAAAATTTTTATTTTTTTTTAATAATGAGGTGGGGAATTTTACGAAACATCGGGCGAAATCGGGGAATTTCATAGTCGAAATCGGGGAATTTCATAGTCGAAATCGAGGAATTCTCAAAAATGGGTTGGCTACCCTGGTTTGAATCNGGGGCACACCTTACCCTTATCCGATTGACACCAAATTCCACAGAGCTCTTTTTTTTTATAGAATGGAACCAAACTAAAGGGCAGCCTTCGAAAAATTATAAAAAAAATTAAAAAGTTTTATATAAGAGCCACCCTAATGTACCATGNCATAGTCGAAATCGAGGAATTCTCAAAAATGGGTTGGCTACCCTGGTTTGAATCAACATCACAGCGAGCGATTAGTGCATTTGTACATATGAGCATGTACCATGTATTAGTCTGTTCCAATAGCAGTCCCGTTTACAGGATTTAGTCAGAACTTACAGGAAGTCGTTCCTATTGACATAAAACCGGTACACTTTTGAGAGAGTAACTGATCAACTGTTCCTGGTCAGAAGTTACAGGATTTAGTCCGCAGTTTTTTATCCTGTAAGTTCAAGAAAAGTGTCAAACGATCAGCTGATTTGCATGTGCAAACAAAAACAGAAAACGGTGAAAGCAAAGAATCTTATATTTGTAAAAAAAATGGAAGTAAACAACGGAATATTTGAATATGTATAGATTTTAATAATTATTTAGTGATATTTCAGCCAAATCAATGTTGTACCAATGACATTTGAACAAACCGACTGACGTTTTTACAGGAAATAGTGCTTTTTGCGTTCCCGTGCACTTCTGCAACTGTTCTCCTCTTACTCTCACTTGAGACAGTAAAATTGTAGTTTGACAGTTCCACAGGCTTTAGTCCGAAGTTCAAAGGAACATACTATATGTGTGTGTGTTGTCACCGCTGTGCATGCTTTGTATACATATACTTTCTTAATTACATATGAAAAAGCATCCGAGACGTGCGAAGCGCCATCCGTGCAGTGAAAAATGCTTCATTTTAATACGGGCGTATTTGAATTGAATATTTATATTATACGCAGTGTATGTATAATGGTAATATTCAATTTTGAACACTTTTCACTTGATTTAAATACGAACATTTTGAAACGGTAATCAAATAAAAAATTTCATTTTTACGCGTACGTAATAAAATGTCTGGTAACCCAGTTGAAGGAAGATGAGGAGAAGCTCGGCCAAACACTAACATATGTGTAAGCGCCAATCTATTATTATTATTATTAATCCAGTTGAATGTAAAATTTTCTGCAATCGCCGACGGAATAGCCAAAAAGTAATTTTCCAATTTTCGGTTTACGGAAATTGAAAGCTATTTTAGAAAATCACTTTACATGTATAACTGCTCCTGTGATTCCTTTTCGAAGCTCTGAGTTTAACAGACTAGAGCCTTTTGTAGGAATTGGTCATTCCATCACAATTCGAAATGGAAAGTGACATGAAGAATTAATTTAAATATTTTTTTATATTTTTCTTAGTCATATGTACATACATATTTATGTATGTATAACTATTTATATCATTTAAAACAAACTTACAATTTCACTCGTGGCTTTGGATCGCCCATCACCTTGATCATAAACCGGAAATGTGTATTTTCCAACATTTCAGCATCTTTCAACTGCACAAGGAAAACCGGCGCAACATTTGTTTCTGTTTCGTCATGTCCTGAAACTAAAAAAAATAAAATATATATTATTAAAACTTAAGTTTGACTTCCTGACGTTAAAGTGTTTTTATAAATGCTCAGAATGAATAGAGAAGTCGATTTAGCCATGTCTGTCCGTCCGTCCGTCTGTGCACACGATAACTCGAGTAAAAATTGAGATATCTTAACGAAACTTGGTACGTGTACTTCTTTCGAGCGTAGGACGGATGGTATTGAAAATGAGCAAAATCGGATAATAACCACGGCTACCTCCCATATAACAGTAATTTTCAGAAATACGAAAACTGCGATATTTTAGTAACTGCTGAAGATAATTCGCTCAAAATTGATATTTAAAATAACTTTTAAACGAAAAATAAGAATATCAAAAACTTTTGGAAAATGGGCGTAGCCATATACATGTGTATATCTTGGTAACCGCTACACAAATTTATTCCAAACTTGGCACAGTTGTTGGCCTTGGTATAGCATACCAAATGGCTGAAAATTTTTAAAATCGGACAATTACCACGCCCACATCCCATATAACGCTAATTTCGAGAAATACGAAATTTATTCAAAATTGATGCTTGCGACAATTCTTTACCAAGAAATACGTTTATGATAAAACCTTGGAAAATGGGCGTGGCCACCGCCCACTTATGATCACATGTATGTATCTCGGTAACCGTTCTACTAATTTGTACCACAGTCGGTATGGTTATTGTGCTTGCCACATGAAAGCAAAGCACTGAAAATTATTGAAATCGGACTAAAATTATGGCCGCCTTTCATACAACGGTAAATTTCAGAAATGCTTGAAACTTCAATATTTCGAAATTTAAGGACGCTAATTTACTCAAAATTTATATACCCCGGCTTACCAAGTGCGGTAGCTTTCGGAAAGGTGAAAAACATATATTTAATACTTGCGCCGGGTATTTAATGTTTGACTCCACCCGAACTTATACTTTCTTACTTGTTCTATTTGAAATGCTTTCTATTGTTTAAGAATGTTGCGTGTTCAATAACATCATTGAATTTTACAATTTTCATTCGAAATTTATATCAGCCGGGCTTCCGTTTTCCATATAGTTTTGCGTTTTACGATTTGCACTCGCTTATTTATCGGCCGAACCAAGTCGTAAATATTTGCTAAATAGTCTGTACACTTGGTGGAATAAACAAGGTGATATCAGTTAATACCTCACTTTTTTGGTATCCCCATTTTGGCAATGCAAATAGAGGTAGTAAAACATGGGAAATATTTAAAAGATATTTTTTTTTAAAGAATGTATTCTAAAAACTATTTAACTAAAACAACGAAAAAATAATAAACATTCTTGATGAGCTTGTTCATCTTGTAAACAGATCTATTATTTATTAATTAGAGACCAATTATTTAATATTTCATAATTAGAAAATAGTTCTACATTCGATTATCTTAGCGAAGAATAAATTGAGCTTTATCATACGCGCAACTATTGATTTTACAAAGCAAATACCTTTAGACGATATAAACTGCAATATGAGGCATTTCATGTCGGCCACCTCTGTGCGCGACCTCTAAGTATTTGGATGAAAGTTGAACATATTGAAGGTCTAGGTAGGGTTTCCAACCGTACTATAATATATAGTATTGTACTATTTTTGGGTCTGCGTACTATATACTGTTGGAAAAAAATATAATATGCAAAAATACTAGATTTCTTCAATTATAAATATAAATATATTTCTGTAATTTTTAAGAAAGAAATGTTTCAACATTGATGACATTTATACTGAAATATCAATATTAAAAGGAATATACTTTAAAACAAAGGGTCCACAGATCAAACGTGGCAACGTTTTTAAAAATACTTACAGCCGCTCTCAGAAACGTTCCTTAAACTAGCTCTAACGGGCACTTAACTAATGATCGTTAAAACTGTCAATTAATGTTTCCTCTCAGAGTAAAAAATTATTAAATGAAAAATTTAAATATGGCCCCAGTTGCGGCCCTTTATTTTTGTGGCATCACTCACTTTTTTCGTTCAGTTTGAAATCCTTACTAATATTATAAATCCGAAACTGAGTTTGTTTGTTTGCTACGCTTTCACGCTTAAACTATTCAACCGATCATCATGAAATTTTGTACACTGCTGTTATTTAGCCCAACTTAAAATATTGGATACATTTAATCTCGATTAGACAAGAGGGCGTGGCACCTCCCATACAAACGGAATTTTTCATACTGCATTTTTCAGGAAATATTTTTGGTAGATTACTGGTACTTGGTATGGAGACATATAAAATCATTCTCTACTCACGGATGAGGGCTNATCATCAATAAGATTTTTAGTAATAATTTAACTCTAGTGCCAACTGGCGGGTCAATTAGTGAATCTACACTATCCAGAGAGTTACAGAGTTACTCAAAAACTCACAAAAAATTTCGTTAAAATCCGTCCGAGAATTTAGGAGGATTTCACATTTGAATTATATATACGTTTGTACGGCGCCACGGCCTCTTTTCAAATAGCCCGTTTTTCTCCAGGAGTATAAGATTGATTTCATATATCTCCATACCAAGTTCCAGTACTCTACCATGAACATTTCCAGAGATATTCGGTATGAAAAATTCGGTTTTTATGGGAGGTTCCACGTCTGAATCAGGTTTCGGAAATTTCAAAAAAATCGGTTGGGCCGTTCTCGAGCTTTGCGAACACAAAAAACGGCTTTCAAAATATATATTGGTATAGATTGGTATGAATCGAAATGGTTTTGAATATGTATCACAATATGAGTGTTAGACGAAAGAGGTTTAAAAAGGTTGCCAACTGTTTAAAAGGTTAAATTCAAACTATTCAAAAATTTAAATGAATTAATACAATATGGGAATCAATCAAAACGATTTTAAAAGGGTTTAATTTCAGAACTACATGTAAAGGGTTTCCATCTGTTTAAAATCTCAATTGAGTAGAAAAAGTATGACAAGTGAGAAGTTTAAGAAAGTTTTAGTTTGAAAATATTTTGAAGATGGTTAAACAAATTTTAAACCTCCTGTTTTTGAATTGAGTTTCCTTGAAATAAATTTTACTCAATGTAGGACGCAAAAATTTCATACACTCAGCGAAGCGGGTGAGGGCGATCTAGTTAAATATAAAAATAAGTATTTATATCATTTTGCGCGCACTCGCTCAACAGATGCAATGGCTGAGTGAGCAGAGCACTGGCGTGCCATTCGAGAGATCCGAGTTTGAGTTCTTCTTGTTAAATTTTTATTGAATTTTGTTGCTTTTTTTATCTAATTTTATTTTGATTTATGCTTTAAAAAGGAAACAATTTTATTTGATTAATTAATTTTTTAGAAACTGTTTGCTAAAAGACAAACAAAACCAATAACAGGCCAATTCTGGCATCTGTCTTTCAACTCACCGCAGTCTTTCGAGAGACAAAATTCTTTATATTCCGGCAACTATCTTGAAAGCTTTTCTGTTTTTCTAATGACTAATTGAAAGATGTCGGCCGCTGTGGTGTAGTGGTAAGCAGTGCGCGCTTCCACTCCGCAGCACCTGGGTTCAAACCCTGGTCAAAGCAATATCGCAAAAATATAGAAAAAAGGTTTTTTCTTAACAGCGGTCGTCCCTAGGCAGGCAATGGCAAACCTCCGAGTGTATTTCTGCCATGAAAAACAGCTTCTCATTGTAGCATGTATGGTAGTGTACTCTATTATTTTGTACTTGTGCATGATGTTTTGTAGTGATCTGTGTTTCAAATGATCCGACATAAAAGTTCGTTATCACACTCTCATTCACATTTCCCCTATATGTATGTATTTGTGTTTCTTGTCTGATTGTTTTGTTGAATGTTGTCTTGTTCTGGTTTATATGTTCTTATATTGTAAAATACTTTTTATGTTTCATTCTGATAAATGTATGTGTGTATGTAAATACTTATGTTCAAGGGGGCGTAAACTTGTGTAACTCGTTGTTGAATGTATGTAAAAGGGGAGCATGCGTACGTGACTCGTTGAAAAGGGAAGTGAACGAATAAGTTTTTCTGTATTGTGAAAATTTGTATTTCAAGCAGAATAAAAAGATTTATTGAACAGAGCGGATGTGTATTGTTAAATTACGGCATCCTACAGTTCAGAAGTAGGGATTGAGCGATCCTTCCGAGCCTTCCTGAAAATTGTGATTATTTTTTTTTGTTTTTTATAAAAGCTAAAACATAAAATATTTAAAAATATAAAACTGAGGATTAAAAATTATATGGACCCGATGCGCAGCTGCAAATTTAAATAATTTTAAAGACGAAAAATGCAAGTTTAAAGAAAAACGAAAAAGAAAATTTGTGTCCTGTAAGGAGTTCAAGAAAGCACCGAGTATCCTGTCAAGAATTGAAGGAGGAAAGTAGAGGAACTAAAATATAAAGATTGTAAAAGGAGTGTATACGAGAAGATATAGAAGAAAGTTTAAGCAAAAGAGAAAATAAAAAAAATTAATTTATTGATATGGAAGAACCAATTTGCGTAAAGATTATTCTTTGGTTCAACTGCGGGAGTGGTTGAGGCAATTAAAATTGCCCACGTCAGGATGCAAAGCTACACTTGCGCTGCGGGTTAGTGAAGTGCCTAAAAATCAGCGTGGTGTTTGTCCCATTGTTCATTCTGGGGTAGAAGGTGATGCTGAGAGTGAAACAGACGAGGTACAAGTGCTTCAAGAAAATGAAAATGCAGCCCTTACTTCTAAGCAGCAAACAAATGTTGCAGGCCATGAAAGGTATGATAATGGTGGTGCTGCTGAAGTTGGCGTTTTGTTTTTACAACGGGAGGCAGAGTTGTTAAAGCGTGAAAAGGAGTTTTTAGTTAGGGAGAATGAGTTTCTGCGCAGACTTTCGAGTTTTGGTGAGAGTGCAGANTTTTTACAACGGGAGGCAGAGTTGTTAAAGCGTGAGAAGGAGTTTTTAGTTAGGGAGAATGAGTTTTTGCGCAGACTTTCGAGTATCGGTGAGAGTGCAGGTGCAGCGCTGCCGCGTCGTGAGC